GGGGGGGGGGGGGGGGGGGGGGGGGGGGGGGGGGGGGGGGGGGGTTAGTGAAGATTGGCGGCGTCTTGATAGGCCGGTGCTGTAGGTCGGTCCTCATTCGGGTGTAAAGTGCTAGCGACAATGCTAGAAGTTGGGCAAAGCTGGAGCTACGTTATTCTGACAAGTAAGACGCTAGCGACAAGGCTTGAGTTCGGCAAAGCTGAAGTCACTTGTTCTGAATTGTAAGACGCTAGCGACACTGTTGGATTTCGACCTATCCAGGATCGCCTTGTTGCGAATGGAAAGATGCTAGCGACACTGTTACAGCCGGGCCAATCTGGGGTCACCTTGTTCCAGTATGGGTAACTCTAGGGCGAGGGCTACGGTAAAGAATATTGACAAGGTGGGGCAATACTGTAGGCTCACGATATTCCAGTAGGGTTAGGGTCAGGGTTTTAAGAAGAGTTGGGCAAATCTAGGTCCACCTTACTTCAGTAGGGCTAGGGCTAAGGTTCCAGAAGAGTTAAGGCCAGCCTTAGTTCACCTTGTTCCAGTAGTACGTCGATCCAGACTTGGGGTCTTTGATTTCCTTCCACCCTTCAGGGAGAAGGCCGCCAGCACCAGCGCCAGCACCACCGCTTCCGCTACTGCCCCCCCCGGCCTGCTTCCGTTGCACTCCCTCGCGGACGCTGTTCTGCTGCTGCAGCAGGCGCTCCTTGGCGCTCTGCTCCAGGTACGTCTGCTGCGCCTTCCTCTGCAAGACAAGGGTACAACACAGCGTAGGCCCCTGTTTGGTGCCGGTATGTTGTTGTCTGCACACCAAAAACTGTTCTGATGTCTCTACCCGGTACCTTCTTCTGTCCCTACTAGTCTAACACTTGACGCGGTCGATTCCCGTGGTCACAGGCTACGTCACCCTGAAAAGGCATACCAAAATAAAAATGAATCCGAGGGGTCCGCAAGCCATTAGCACTGTGCCCAGAAAACTACCGGCACAAAACAGGACCGGCACTACTCAAAGGATTGAGCTGGCTTGGAAATTCAGTGTGTGCCCGCCGATAACACCAGCACGATATCGGGTACCAATGTTATTCAACCGGCACCAAGCAGGGACCTCTACTGCTGAATATCGTTCTAATGCTTACCGCAGGTGACACGAGATACCACCCCCCCTAGACCGCGACCCGCACGACTCGCTATTTCACAGCTATTAATAGTTGGTTTGGTGTACAGCTAACCGGTGACGGATGAAAGTCTTGCAGTCGGCCGTGCGGATAGAAGTAGGGATAGGGTTCGAGTCAGGGGTTATTGAGGGATAGGCTTACGCTTAACTACGGGCAGGCCAAAACACTGGCTGGGGTTAGGGTTGGGGTTGTTGCGAGAGAAAACCAGCTCACCAGAGTGACGACCTCCAGCGTGTTGTCCCCGTCCTTCCCATCCCTGGCCTTCCGGATTTCCCCTGGCTTGAAGTGCCGCTCTCCCCCCGAGCTGCTCAGAAGCGCCAACGCTAATCCACAGAGTACAGAGCACAGACGACAAGCAACAGCAGCAGAGAATGAAACCGTCAAGCCGGCACAACGCGCCAACACTGGCACATGAACAGAGCACAGTAGCACAGACGGCAGCAACAGTACAAAATGAAAACGTCAGCCCGGTAGAATATAAAACCGTCAACCCGGTACAAAATGAAACCGTCAACCCGGTAGAATGTCGCAAGTTTATCAAGATTCGATAGCAGTAGGGCGGGGACGTCTGGGCAAGTTGCCCGTTCTGATGTCGCCTGTACAAGCGAAAAATTGAGTCAACAGCATAGAGAATGAAACCGTCAATCCGGAACAAAGCGCCAACACTGACACATGAACAGCACACATGAACAGCGCACAGTAGCACAGACGGCAGCCACAGCAGAACACGAAACCGACAATCCGGTAGAATACGAAACCGTCAACCCGGTAGAATATCGTAACTTCACAAGATTCGATACAAGGCGGGATGACTGGAGAAGTTGGCGACTGGAGAAGTTGGCGGCTGCACGAAGCGAAAAATTGAGTCTCAGCCAAACATATCGCCTCTTGACTGCGGCTGCCGACAGGGAGTCACTGGGGGGGGCGTCGGAGTTATAACGTAGTTGACTGCATTTCCGCGAGGGCCGGGATTCACAACATCGAGCGCTGGGAAAACACGAGAAGGTGATTTAGCGTTGTAGCGATGTACGCTGCGTGTCTTCGTGTAGAACGATACATAATCTCGGCGGCGCTGGGAGGAGATGATAGAAAAAAGGCCAATCCATAAGACCACTCTGCTGCGATCATGCACTTCGATGGAAAACGGTTTGAGTAGTCTAATGGATCAGCCTATTTGCATCGCGAGAGGGGAGGGAGATTGAGAGCGGCGGCGACGCTGTCTGATTGGCAAGCTGAAAAAACAGACGGTTCGCCTGTGAATCGACAGCGACACTCCCGCAAGCACGTGGAGATTGCCTTGAAAAAAGGCCTCATCTTCCCAACGCCAATGAAGTGCGATCCCTCTCTTCACAAGCAAGCACCAACACCGCTGTCAACTGTTCACTCGAGTACAAAGAAGCGTCTAATATCATACAACTTGAAGACATAGACGACGAGTTGTTCTCATGGTGCTGCCGTGCATGATGAAATATATGTAGGTTTGAGCTGCTATGCGACGACAGCAGCCAGGGAATCTTGGTGCCAATTATCCCGCCCGAGCAGTAGAAGTAGATGAAAGAGCAAAGACCGCCGACTGAGGCAGTACAGACGCAACCGGCATGCTGTATATCTCAAGATGAATACACAGCCCGTGTCACGCACAGCCAGACCAGAGAGCGCAACAAATACAGCAACATACAGCCAAGCTAATTTATTTCGCTAAGCTTTCTTGCACTGCACTACTTACAGCCAAAGCTATGTGTGTCCCCGGTATCAGCCCCAACATCGCAACGCCGCTCTGAGCTCTGAGTGCAATGCGATGCGGCGCGATTGCACAACATCCTTTGTCCGGTGTTTTCGCTATAGCTCTATGAAACATGCTGCGGTCTCATACCTTCTGCCCGTTTCTTCTGCGCCTCGATCTCCTTCTGGAGTCTCGCAGGGTCGGTCAGCCTCGACATGTCTACGAGGCCACACAGTAGTCCACTTGCCTGTGCTGTGTACTTCGTTGAGCGCTCGGAGCAGGCGGCACAAGGCGGGTGAGGGGGGCACGACAAAGGCATAGCTTTTCGAAAGATATACTACAATGATTCCACGAGGACCCCAATCTCGCCGCATTTCCCCTTTTGCCACAGCTACAACAAACCCCCACGAGCCTCTGCTGCTCTCTTGCCCTCTGTCCGCGAAGACACCATGGCCCAGGCCGCAGCGGGTAACGTTCTCCGTGCATCACTGTTTGCCATGCCGGTGGCGTTGGCGTTCCATGACGTCGTAGGGTCCCCGGTGCAAGTGGAAGGGAGGTCGATGCAGCCGGCGATCAACCCGCACTTGGGACCAGAGTAAGCAGCAGCCAATGTGTGACTGACCGCGCTGGCCATGTCGTTTGGCATCTTCCAGCTCCTTTCCTCCATCCAGTTGAGGGAGGAGCAGACACCTGAGGAGTTTCTGTAGGCCCAAGGCGGATTTTGAGTGCACCGGACGCTTTGGGTGGTTGGTGTTCTGGAACGTACTTTATGGACGTCTTGCAGTAGTCTATGTATAATAACAGCGGCGGTGGCGGTTGTCTCAGCCGCCACTTAAGTCGTGTTCTGCAACTTGTGTGTCAGACAAAGCGAGTGTCGTCCCCAGTGTCTGTGAAACGGGTATAAGCATCTGAATAAAGCGCAGAGAAGTGCTTGGTCTGGTTCGCTGAATCTTCCAAGGTTGTCTCCTGAGCAGTGGGTACATCAGTATAAGAGCGATCTGAGGGGTGTTCAAAACCACAGCCGTGTGTGCCCATGTGCACGGCTGGTGTCAACAGCGTCAGCTGGGCCGGTACGGACATCAAAGGGCACCGAGCAGAGATGAAATCATTCTTTTACTGTGAAGGCAACAACATCAGCAACGATCTGATCGGTAAAGGCTAAAAACCATGAGACTGCTCAGTCTAATCTGCTGATTGTGTAAGGCAACAACATCAGCAACCATCTGATCGATAAGCATAACCATCAGATTTACTCAGTCTAATCAGCTGACTGAATTGTCTACAGCACACCAGTGGTTTTGCCATCATCGATCACCATCCTCATCACATCACGGTTGATACCCCCTCTGCCTGTGTGCCAGCAGGAGCCAACAAGGCGGAAGCCTGGACGTGGTGTGGCAAGACAAACTGAGCATCTCGAGACACATCTACGAGCGAGGCTCCATCGTCGTCTTCAGGTACACACAGCAGTACATACCTACAGCAACCAAAATACGCTGCAGCTCTCATTACACTTACCGCCCGCACTTGGTACTATGCAAGAAATGCAGGCTCAAAACAAGAGAAGTTCAAGACCTTGACCATAAGAACAGGTCTCAGTTTAGTATCCTACACTAACACCCATATTGTCGCTGTCTGGAGTAGTCTACCCCTTAAAGAAAACAAGAAGCGATCCTCGGGTTAACTTAAGACATAAGAGGTTCTTTATCGCGGGCGCTACCAGTACAGTATCTGTGTCATTTACCGTCAGTGGTAAGATAAGAAAGTAAGAGGTTCTTAAATGCGGCGCTGCCAGTACAGTATCTGTGTCATTTACCGTCAGTTCAGGCGGCACCAGGTATCATGCTCTGTTGTGCGTATGATACCTCCCTCACCTTTGCGGAATACTGCTGTAGCTGTGTAACGCCCAAAATGTTATCAAGGGTGCGGTATCTATCTTCGGTGACGTTGTATGCATCCAGACGGTCTGTGACGCCAAATAGGCCTAGACCACCGTAGCCAAAGAGCGAGTGTCTGCAATCTGTGCGTACATGTTGGCACCAGCAAAAATTAGTGGTACTTTGCCACCGACACTCCATTAATGACCAGCCAAGAAGCTGCCCTTTGCTCGACCAAAGCCCAGCGCGATCGGTTCCACCCCGACCACGACTCTCCCGCTCGCGTCATCGTTTCACCCAATGATTGATCGCGCTATCTTGAAGTTCCCTCCCCCCCGCGGCCATGGGTGTTGGTGGAGCCCTCCTCTTTTAGATTAGCCGCTGTTCGGCCACAATGCAGCAGCAGCAGCAGCAGCAGCAGCGGCAGCAGTCATGGCTCTCCGTCATGTTTCGTCTGAGCCGCTTCTGATGTGCACCCGCACACCCCAACAATGCATCAGAATTCTGTAGCGACATGAGACATGCGTCGGCGCTGCCTGTTGTTGTTGTTGTTGTTGTTGTTGTTGTTGTTGTTGTTGTTGTTGTTGTTGTTGTTGTTGTTGTTGTTGTTGTTGTTGTTGTTGTTGTTGTTNNTTGTTTTTTCTCACATTAACTCTATAGTCCACAAAAAATGGGAAGCCCGTGGTCTCAAAACCCGGCACATACGACGCCGCGGGGAAACAAAACAAAAATAGGGTACAAACCACTCGGAAAAAGAAAGCAAAATGATAGAAAGAAAATAACAGGTATCGCACAGACCGTTCGAGAAAAGAGCCCCCGGAAACCGATCAAAATAGAACAAAAAACAATAATAAAGGAGGACGCTTCCCACACCCGCCTAAAGAAAACATCAAGGGTAACGTACCAGCACCAGGCACTACGCACCAGGGTATGGGAGTAACGGAGAAAACAGGACAAAGAGGCGGCAGATGGGCAGACAGCCAGATGTACAAAAACAAAAGCAAAAGCAAAAGCGAGATAAAGGTATCCAACACAGCGGAGTAGGCAGGGAGGTCATGAAAAAAGAAACACAGCACAGAGGCCGAAGGCAATACAAAGGACATACACAAAGGAGTCTAGCATACAGCAGGGACTATATATGTTTCTGTTTCGTTCGACCGGATAACAAGTATGGGTACGTGAACATTATGATAGTAGTAGATAATAGTCTACACCAGCACTCAACGCTGTTTTGTTTTCTTATGGGAGACCCGTTTTGTTTTCTCAAATATGAACCGACAACCACGACTCCTTTACACTGTACGAGCAGTGCTCTTTCGATCACGGTTTCTCTCGGTTTGATAAATTGGAAACACCTCTCGATTTTGCGATTTCTCACCTACGTATTCATCAGGACCTCCATACTCCAAGTAGATATGGCCACCATTCGCTCTTTTCTTATGATGGCCATCCTCCAAGTAGATATGGCCATCATTCCCTCGTTTCTCACCGTAGTCCCATTCATTCCCCACTAACATTCGAGCGTACTCCAGATATATATTTTTTTCATGTTCCACACCATGTCAAACTCGCCTTTACCCCCGACGGAGACTCGCGCTCTGCTGCCTGCGTTCGTGTAGTCTATCTCGCTCAGAATGGAGTTCGGTTTGTTTTCAATTGCGTTCTTGGCGAACGGCTGTAATGCCGGCGTTTATTTGCTCTTTAGCTTCAACTTTGCTGAGGAGCCCCTTCAACCCAAAGAAGTGGATATTGAAATTGTGTCACATGGTTGCATGCCGGGCTTTGAACTGCTGTAATTCTGTTTTTTTTGTGCAGGAATCCCTTCGACCCGAAAGAGCGGGTCGTGAAGCGACTGATCGGCGTCGATGGCGACTGGGTGCGACCAAGGGGCAACAAGCACAACCTGATGAGAGTGCCGGAGGGATACTGCTGGGTAGAGGGTGACAATCACGGGGTCAGCGGAGACAGCAACCATTTTGGACCGGTGTGTTGGTTGAAAACCTTTGTTTGGTATGAAACATTGTGTATGGTAGTATATCTAGAAGCTTCCGCTTTGGCATCACTATGTATTTTGTTGTTGTCGCCAAATGTTTTTTTTTTTGCTTCGGGTAAGTGCTTGAGGTGCTATCATAGCAGTAGGGCAATGGTCCCATGTACCATAGTCCTGTGGTTTATGTATAGCCCGTATACGTGTACAATGTCTTATCGCTGTTTCAGTACACCGAAGAATGTTCCGATAATACCGTTGGTTGCGTAAGATATCACACCCCCTGGACGATTTCAAAGCTCGATTACTCGGCACGGAAAGAAGTGACAGTTACCGAAGATGGCGGATTTGGAACCGTCCCGTCGAGAGCTCTTCGAACAATTGTCGCTTTCCTTCGGCATCCTCTTGGTCGTGGAGTAATCGAGCTTTGATAATCGGTCCAGGGGGTATGGTATCTTACGTCACCTGTACGGTGCTCCTTAGGGAGTGCCTAGGTACTGCTGTTGACTGACATTGAAACAACACCGTGAAGAGGCGACTTGCCCGGTGTCGCCGTGTGGCATACCACTCTGTCTTGAAATTATGAATGCCATCCGGATACAAATGAGGTTGTCCCAATGGCTCGTATGTTTCCAGAGTTGGAGGTATTTTGGGTGAGAACTGCTGTAAACCGGCATCGCTGTCCGTTCCAGCTGCTGCTGCTGATGTGGTAGTTGTACACTTGCCGGAAAGATTGGAGGCACAGGATTTAGTCGACAGGCTGACCCCAGTACGTCGCCACTGCTAACTCTTGTGACGCTTTGTGCAAGCGAACGAATATCGTCGGCGTTGCTAGCTACAGAAGTCCCAACCTCGTTTTGTTTGTTTTCTGTCTCCTTGTCGCTTGAGTCTTTCGAACTGAAGCGGCCGCAAACTGACCCTCTAACCTGGCCACTGCTGACTCTTGCCGTCGCGGTTGGTGTTGAAACAACAAATAAAAAATGGACGCCGTCCTCAACTGCGGCTACTCGGGACTGTCAGATACCGCTGGCGCTCATTGAGGCAAAAGCGACCCACGTTTTGTGGCCACCAGGAAGAATGCGCAGGCTGGGCCAAGATTTGCCGGTAATCCACCGCGGTTTGAATCCATCCCAAGCGTGACAGAGCGGGCGCCACTTGTGCTTATTCTCTTTGTGTTCCGAAGGGGGGGTCCCAAGGGAAGACGCACAGACGTGGTAAACAGAGGAGTATATATACGGCTTGGGAGCAGCGATTCACTGGCGGAGTTTGGATATGACGTGCGGCTTTTTTGCTGAGGGTACAGAAAGAGCCCATTCGCTCGTGTTCGCTTCTGGTGGCGCACGGCTCTTGTGCTGCTAAATAAAGGTACAGGGCTACTTCGCTTTAGCCGATCGATGTATTGGGCTATGGCCGCCCTTGATTGTTTTGTTAAAACATCCAACTCGAGGTGTTCATGGATGAGACGAAGAAAACGTGTTGTCGTTGTTGTCGTGCTCATTTGCTACTTCTTCGTTCTTGATAGCTGAGAGCGCGAGCCATAACGTCAAAGGGTAGCTCTAAGGATAAGGGTTCGGCCCTTTTGCTGAACCGCTGCAAGTTTGTGATTTGACCGATGGATTATTTTCCGTGAGCGGTATGCCCGTATGTTCCTGCAACTGGCCAGAGTTGTCTGAATCATCCCCCCCCCACAGTGTTTGCCATCGGGGTTGGGTTTTCGTCGCTTGGCAACGACGTTGTAAAACAAGCCGCCCCCCCCGGTGTTTGCCATCGGGAGTGGGTTTTCGTCGCTTGGCAAGGACGTTGTAAAACAAGCCAATTCACTTCGTGAACTCGGCAACCAGGTTACCGTTTTTTTTTTTTTTACCTCCGTTTTTTTTTTTTGGCGGTAACCATAATGGTGGTCGAGTAGATCATGTTGTGCGGGGTGGAGAACCCTCACTCCGCGCAAGGGGGATGATCGCACCACGTTGTGTTAAAATGGTCAAGCACCCTCGAGGCAGTTACACAGTGCTTACAACTGTCTCTGGAAGTGAAAGCACCAGAAAATAAATTAATTCATACGCAGCTGTCATCCGTACGCAAGGAAGTAAGCACAAGATGCCGAACACCCTTAGCAGGATGCAGCGCACCCTTCATGCGACTCGCCGAATATCTCACGGCGCTTCGCGCTTGGTGATGTGAGAGCCTGGTCCGGTGAGAACCCGGCGTGCTCCGTCCCGGCTTTGTAGGGATGCGAGGTCAATGGTCTAACGACTACGGCATGCACGACTATGAGTACCCCCCCCCCCCCCACAGCAGTGGAGAATGTGGTTGGCTCTTGAGAACACAGGCCGCGGGCTCTCGAACACACTGCTACATGCACTTTTGGGGCCAAAATCGCCCCCAACCTCTCCCGTCCGAACTGCAACGAGCCATGCTTGCGGGAATACTTTATGGACAACCTTGAGGACTTCTGTCCTCGTGCTCCCGGCGTCTCGAGCACTGCATGTATATGTTGGGTTTACCGCCTCCGCCAAGGCAAGCCACTTATCGCCAAAAAGCATGAAACAGGTCATGTACTCTGTTGTTGTTGTTGGTGCCACACTAAAAAAGCCGTTCCGATCTTTAACACGGTATCTTCATGTGTCTGTCGGTACTGACCAAAAACTTGAACGAGCGATTCCCGTGGTTACTGGCTATGTCTAACTACTTTGTTGCCGCCGAGAAACCACCGCCGTCTAAAGGCATTGCCACCCCGCCCTCAGCCGCCGAAAATCGCTTTCGACGCAACCCCTTTTATTTGTGAAGAGAGCAAGAGAGTTCCCGTGAACGGGGAGGGAATGGACACCTCTTCGTCGATGCAATCAATGCGGATAGACGGAAGCAAGTGTCATCCTCGACATGGCCATTGTAGATATCTTTCGTGGAGGGGATGCCCACATAGATGATAGGTGACACGAGATATGTAGCACACTCTGTGGGCAAAAGCAAGACCGATTGGTCCACCACGAAGAAGATGCATGTAAATTCAAACGATGCGTTTCGGAAAGCTCAAAACCAGACGGTTTCAGCGCCGCCTTTTGGCAAGTACCCCCCCCCCTCCCCCTCACTCTCTCTCTCGCTCTCTCTGTGTCCGCTGAAATTTCCTAGCAAATTCTTTGTGCGGCGATTCTTTCGGCCTGTGAGAGGAGCAACTTGACCTCGGCCGACAGCAGCACAGCAGACTGGCACAGCAGCAACGTTGGCCGGGTTAGCTCCACCACATAGCCCCCGCCCATCACGTCACGCTGACCGGTGAACAATACAGGAGTAAGGCGGGGATTGGATCGGAAGGCAGCGAAGCAACGACACCTGCCGTTCCGAGCGCTCTTTACCCAGAACCTTCGTATGCATATGTCCGTACTGATCCAACACCCGACGCGCTCGATTCCCGTGGTCACAGGTTAACTTACCCTGCAAAGGTACACTCAAATAATCTTGCCCCGAGGGGTCAGCAAGTCAATAGAAATCATGTGTATGTATGTAGATTTACGCGTGTATATGTGCGGTATGTGTATATGTAGTCTGTGTGTAGTAAACTAGGTCGTGCGGACACCCCACCTTGACCTGTTTTCAAACCTCGATTGGACTATGTCGTCAGATAACCACCTTGGCGTATTGGAGTATAGACTACAAAGTGTTGACTATTGTCATTGACTACCCTTCATGTAGACATAGTGTTGAGCGAAATCGAGACTACTGCTGTAATGTTCATCTCTTGAACCACTCATACAAAGTCGTTGTTTTTACATCAAGCATCCGAGAACGAGTGCCTCATCATGTATGTACTGTTTGTCGGCCGTACTCCGCGTACTTATCGGGACTTGTTTGTGTAGTGTATTAACTTCAGACGGTGAGACAACGCCCGTACCCAGGACGCTGTCGTGCTCGGAAAGCAGGAGGAGAAAGAGAGAGTGGCAGCGCGGCTGCTGCACTCAACAAAGGGGGTCCCGGTGCATCATCACCGTACCCCTACCTAAAAGGTTCTACACCATCTGCGTCACACTTGTACGTATGGCTAATGTATCCAAACCATGTCCGTAGACCCACGAACACCCTCCCTGGTTCTTCACGCAAGTGACTAACCATCAGTGGGGCAACAACACCCCGGATACATCAATAAAAAAACCATACGGTGGTGGAGGGGAAACCCGGCCCCCGGGCAAAACCCCTCCAAAGAAAACCCCATCCAACACAAAAACCATTGCTATCACGGCGGATGTACAACGGCCGCACTTATCAGAAAGACCAAGGCGAAGACAAGATCGCAAGGAACTACGTTCCCCCGGACGATGGCCTCCCAACGCCCCCTACTCCTGCCATGGGTACACAGACCGCGACAGTAATGCGACTTTCCCGCATGGTAAACATGGCCCTTCCCAAGTGCTAAAAACTGCTAGCTACTCCGGCAAATTCATCAACTTGCGCCGGTGGTACTGCAGACTGCTCTTGCTAAGAGCCTTGGTAAGCATGTCGGCATGCTGCTCCGACGTCGACACAAACTTGATCGAGATGTCCCCCGACCTGAACAATCCACGAATGAAGTGGTACCTCACGTCGATGTGCTTGCTACGCGCTGAGCTGAGGGGGTTCTGCACCAAAGCCATAGCCCCCTGATTGTCCTCAAGGACCTGAATGCTGCTGCCACTGGTCTCTGGGGCAATAAACGAAAGCACTGCACGCACAAACAAAGCTTCCTTCACACCCTCCCCGGCAGCAATGTACTCTGCCTCCGTAGACGACAAAGATACGATAGCTTGCGTCTTGCTACCGTGGCTGATGACGGTCCCTCCAACCGTTGTTGCCAGCCCTGACACCGAACGCCTATCCTCAGCGTCGGCGTAGCTAGCGTCCACGTACACCGCCAGCCCCAACCCCGATCCCCGTTCGTAGGTGATCCCGAGGTCCCTCGTCTCTTTGAGGTAGGCGAGGATCTTCACGATCGCCTTCCAGTGCCTCTCGGCAGGGGCATGGGCATGGCGCGCTACCGCACGCACGGCGAACGAGATGTCCGGGCGCGAGAACGTCGACACCCACATCATGCTGCCGATGGCCTCCCTCACCGGCCATTCCCCTCCACTCTCGTCATCCCGCTTCGGTCCTATATCGACACCAGGGGAAGCAGGGATGGAGGAGGTCGACTGCACATCAAAGCGATTCACGATGCTGTCAATGTACGCGGTTTGGGAGATTCTAAGGGTCCCAGCCTCTAGGTCTCTCTCGACGGCACACCCGTCGAACCACACGCACTCTCCAAGGTCTTTGGTGGGGAATGCCTTGTTGAGGGAAGCAAGCAACTCCTTGCAATCATCATCAGACCCAGCCACCAAAATGTCATCCACATAAATCACGATAATCATCACCACGACATCGTCTTTCATCTTGCGGAAGACGCACGGGTCAGCCTTGCACTGCTCGAACCCGTTTTCTACAAGAGTATCGGCAGCGTGGTACCCCCACTGCCTGCCGCTCTGCTTCAAGCCGTAAATAGCACGCTCAGCCTTCACAACTTTGTGGGATTTTTCCCCGCACCCCGCGGGGAGCCTCAGAAACACATCCTCGTCCAACTTAGCGTGTGTAAACGCCTGCTTGACATCCCAGTGGTTGAGTTTCAGCGATTTCTCGTTGGCTACCGCAAGCATCAGTTTAATGGATGCGGATGATGGGCAAGGGGAGGATGAGTGGAAGTAGTCCACGTTCGGGATTTGCGAAAACCCCCTAGCGACCAGACGCGCTTTGAACTTCTCAATTTTTCCGTCCTTGTTTGTCTTCCAAGTGAAGCGCCACTTCGAGCTCACGGGTCTACGCCCCTCTGGCGTACCGTCTACGAATGAAAACGTTCCCGTGCCCAAGTGCCCATCAAACTCTTCCCTCATGGCCTGTTCCCATCCCTCTCTGTACACAGACTTGTTAACGCCGGCTACGGTCATGGGGGGGGATTCGACGTCACTCGGACGCTTGCCTATGGGGGATTCTGTACTCAGCTCGGTCGACGCCAGGGCCCTCGCGAAGGCGTCTGGAGAGTTGAGCACGAGGTCCTCCGCTCCCAGCAGGAAGTCCTCTGCCTCTTGGCGCGCGATGTTGGCCTCCTCCGCGCGCTCGCACAGCAGCGCTTGCACCGCCCTCGCCTCTAGCTCTTCCACCACGTCGACCACACACGCGATCATCCAGTGGGTGTGCTCCGTCGTGCTGTTGATGGGCAGGATGGGCAGCCCCGCCTCCGACGCATGGCGGGCGAGCAGGCCTTCGGCACTCGTTGGCGACGGCGACGACTCGTACCTCATGTTCCGGCGAGGGTTCTCCCTGAGTCGGCGGCTGGTGAGCTCCGCCGGCTCGCCAAAGCGGGCGAGCTTCCGTCCCTCGGGCCCGCGGAGGGCCGGGATGTCCGTGTCGCTGCCGCTGTCACTGCCGCTACCGCTGCTGTTGCTGCTGCTGCTGCTGCTGCTGCTGCTGCTGCTGCTGCTGCCGCCACCGCGGCTGCTGCTGCTGCGACGGTCGTCCTCGCCGCCGCCCACATCGGCCATCCCGGTCGACGTGGTAGATGGGGCGACGCTCGCGCCCTCCCTGCTCGAGGGGGCGCCATCGCCAGCGTCGCCCGCGCCCGACTCCTGGGGCGCGGCCGGCGGCGCCGCCGGCGCATCACGCGCGGGCGGCTCCGCGGGCCCCGGGTTTGCCGTCGTGTCAAGGTGGAAACCTCCATCCTCAGGTTCTCCCTCCGCCCTCCCTCCACCGTGGCATGACGCACCCTCCCCGCCCTCGTGCTCCCCAGTCGTGAGCTCCTCGTCCTCCTCTGCAATGGGAGGCAGCGGCTGGGGGTGCGCGGTTGGGGCGGCGGGCACAGATTGCCAGGTGAAGTTGCGAGTTGTGATCGCTTGGCGTTTTTCGTTCAGGATGCGCACGCAATCACGGTTTGTGTTGATTCCAGGGCCGAGGTAAAAACACTTTTTTGCTTTCGGCTCTGACTTGTGCGTGCGCTTGACCTTGTATACGGCGGGTTTGAGGAACGGGTACGTCGCCTCTGGGGGAGGTGGGTGCCCGTGCCACATTTCGTACGGCGATTTCTTGTCCGGGTTGGATGTGGTGGAGGTGCAGTTAAGGGCGTTGCATGCCCAAGCTGTAGCTTCGGCCCAAAGGGAGGGGTAGCTCGGCGCTTCGGGGTAAAGAATCGGCGCTTGTATGCGCGCGGCTAGTGCTGCATCCTTGATCAGTCCCAGTGCTCTCTCAGCTACACCGTTGTATTCTGGGCTGTATGCGGGGGTGAACTCCTGCTTGATGCAGTACTTGCGGCACAGCTTTCCGAACTCTCCCTCGAAAAACTCTCCTCCGTTGTCAGACCGCACGACCATGACCTCGGATGGGGCTCCGTCTGCCCGGTTTTCCGCTAGGTATCTCTCGAATGCTTCTGCAGCGTCTGACTTGTTTTTCAAGAAGTAGACGCGGTTCCACCTCGTGCAGTCATCCCTTACAATGAGAGTGTACCACTTCCCCCCCAAGCTCTGCACCCTTGCCCTCCCACTCAAATCCACAAAAACTCTCTGCAGCTTCTTAACTGCACGGGTGGACGTCCTGTTGGGGATGGGCTTGGATAGCCCCTTTGCCGTCGAGCACCCCATGCACTCCCGGAGCTGGCCCACCAGCGTCACCCCTTGCTGCTTCGCCGTGTTCTTCAGCAGCACCTCGTGGGAGTGGCCGTGCGCGCAGTGGAAGTCGTTGATGTCAACGGGGGTGCGGTTCGCTTTCGCGTTACCAGGAGCAATTATGGCACAGGCTAGTTCCCTACCCGAGTCTATGCGGTGACCAGTCTGAACGAACAGGTCCCCCCATAGAGGGAAGTACACCGACTCCCCCCCACCAACGAACACCTCCAACTCACGCTCGTCTGCGGCTAAGCGGCCCTTGGTTTGCTTCAAAAGGGCTGTGAGGGACACGAGGTTGTAATTCAGCTCCGGCACATGAGCGACCCGTTTCAACAGCAGGTCTGTGGTCCCAACGCGAGAACCGATGGTCACCCTCACGTCGCCGTAGCCTACTATGGCGAAGGCTTGCTTCCCTGCGGCGACACTCAAACGTCGATCGCACTCATGGTAGTTTTCGAACGCGTTAGCGCTCGGGAACATGTGGTTGGTTGCGCCGGTATCGGCCACAAACCTTTCCTGCCTGGCCTGCTCTACACCCCCTCGATCAACGACTCTGTTCCACTCGCCTGTGAAGTCACGGACCACTAGCGCCTCCTCTGCCACGTCCAGTGCGGTGGCGTCCAAGACCGGCAGCTCCACCGCGAGCACCGCCTGCTCGGACGAGCACTTGCTCTTGTCGTGTCCGTAGCCCAGGCATTTCTCGCATCGCAGGGGCTCCGGCTTGGTACAGGCGGCCGCCTGGTGACCCTTCTCTCCGCACCGGAAGCAGCGGCCGTGCATGCTACCTGCACCGCCGCCGCCTCCGCCGCTGTTGCCACCACCACCGCCCTTGCGACCACCCCCTTTCCCCTTCTGGCTGCCACCGCCGCCGCCGCCCTTGCTGTGGCCGCCGCTGCTGCGGCCGGGCGCTCCGCCCCTGTTGCCACCGTCGCTCGCGAGGAAAGCATGCTCCGCCTTCCGCTGGCCCTTCGTGGCCCTCCTCCCCTCCGGGAGGCTCGCGTGCACGGTACTGACGACCCTGATTATCTCGCCCCGGTCCAGAGTTGTAGCCGTCTCCAACAAGAATTTGGCTTGTTGGTACTCGGGTGGAAGGGCATCGACAAAGTGTGCGAGAACAAAGGGTGTGTCAGCGTTGAGCCCTTTTTCCCGCAGTCGTGAGTACAGCAGCTCGAGCGTGTATAGATGCTCGACAGGGTTGCTGTTGCTGTGTGCGGGGATCGTGAATCGAAACATCTTCTTCATGAGGGCTTGTTTCGAGCCCTGCGACTCCGGGTTGTGTACTTTGTCGAGTTCCGCAAGAATTTCCTTTGCGGTCTCGCATTTGTTCACGATTGCCTTGTCGGCTTCTCGGACGATGGCTGTAGTCACAAAGTGGAACGCCTGGAGGCCCCTCTGAACCTCATCACTTGTGTAGCCCAAGCTATACAGCTCCGAGCTAGGCCTGTTTGGGTCACCGACGGGTGCGTGCTTCTCGGCGTTGCCGATAAGCTGCCCGTCCAAGCCTACGGTTTTCGCGGCTTGAATAAGGGCCTTTCTCCACGAGTCGTACCCGTGGCCGCGACTCTCCCCTTCGAGACGCGGTGCATTGACCGTAACACGTTTTTGGCTACTACTGCTGTACCCATCGAAAAATGCTCCGGCCCCTCGAATTGCGGTTTGCTCACCTTGGGGGCTTAACCCCCTCGCTTCCCCGCGGTCCGGTCCTACGCCCGGGCTCATTCCGGCTGGCCCCACAGGATTCGCTCCCGATCTACTTGCCCAGCCAGTCGTCACTCTCGCTGGAACCCCAGGACTCGCTCCCGGTATGTTGTCCCAGCTGCTTTCCCGCGGGTGATTTCGCCCATCACGGGCCGTTTCCCGGGAAAATGCCCCGCCGCCCCCAGGCGGCAGAGCCTCTCTCTGGCTTGGGACGGCAGCACCGCTGCCCCTACTGGCATCGCCCGCCACGGCGTCACCAGGCTCCTTCCTCTTCAACTCCATCACTACGCTCATCAGTTGCGATAACTGGCCCTCCAGCCTCGCAATCGCCGGATCCTCGGCGTGTTGCTGTTGCGTGGCTGAGGTCTCTTCCCCCAGCCCTGCGACGGAACCGCTGTCCGACGCAGACATGACCCGATGCGGCTATCCCTCGAGGGACAATCAACTCTAGAGTGTTTGTCGGCCGTACTCCGCGTACTTATCGGGACTTGTTTGTGTAGTGTATTAACTTCAGACGGTGAGACAACGCCCGTACCCAGGACGCTGTCGTGCTCGGAAAGCAGGAGGAGAAAGAGAGAGTGGCAGCGCGGCTGCTGCACTCAACAAAGGGGGTCCCGGTGCATCATCACCGTACCCCTACCTAAAAGGTTCTACACCATCTGCGTCACACTTGTACGTATGGCTAATGTATCCAAACCATGTCCGTAGACCCACGAACATGTACGTTTTCTGCTGTCACATGAGTAGCATGCATTTAAGCCTTTGAATGATTATGTATTGACGTATATCTATATCCACACGAAGGTTTCCCATTGACGTACACGGCTCCTCAACGTCAACGTCTACTGTATGTGGCAAATTACTTTCATGTACGCTGATGGTGTCCTCTACCACACACCGTATTTATGTAGCTACATAGACTAGCTTTAAAGCGACTGAGCCATTGAGGAGGAGCAATCGCGCAACTCGTGGAATTCCGGCTAGCCGGGCCGGCGATGAACTACCCACACTGCCTCGGGAACCGGCCGCCGATGGTCATCACAATTTGCGAACAAGGGTGGCTCCCCGAGGGAGAGGCACTCGAGGAAGAGGCACTCGAGGCAGAGACACTTGAGGGAGGGGTGGTTCTCGGCCGGGACGCGCCATGCGTGGCCGTGGAAGTGGTAGGTCTAGTGGAACGAACAACCAGCGCCGCGTCCAACTGCAGCGTCTACGCCGCTCCGGCGAATCGCCCCAGGCACGTCAAGCTCGACTCAGCGCTCGACGGGCGCAGGTCGCACAGGAACGGAGGGATGGGAGGACCGCGCGAGCGAGGAGAAACCTGAGTAGCATGGAGGAAGGGTCGAAGGCGGCGACGACGACGACGATAACACGTTCGCCATCAGCCAGTTGAGCGTAAGTACGTTGAGGTTGTTGATTCGGAAAGTACACCACTTAGTTCGCGCCGTAGTTAGCCGGCCGTCACCATAATCCTCTGCGCTGGGTCAATAAACGGCCCTACTCCTCTTACCATCGTCGTCCCCCACCGTCGTCCCCTGTCCATCTTGACAGACTCGCACCAACGTCAAGTCCTTCTACGATAGGCTGCACTCCTACGAACAACGATTCTGCGAAGTGTGCCAAGAGATGTGGCCTGTCAGGCGTGGAGATGCACCGCCAACACGTCAACTGTGTGAACGGTAAGCAACATTCAAACGCGGAGGCAGGCGGAGACACATATCGTGTGCCCGTTTGAACCATAGCTTAGCCCTTTCTCGCAGTATACCAACCTTCGTGCAGCCCTTCTTGACGCCCTCTTTTGACCCTCNCAACTGTGTGAACGGTAAGCAACATTCAAACGCGGAGGCAGGCGGAGACACATATCGTGTGCCCGTTTGAACCATAGCTTAGCCCTTTCTCGCAGTATACCAACCTTCGTGCAGCCCTTCTTGACGCCCTCTTTTGACCCTCTCTCGACGATTCCCTCTTAGGTGCACAAAGGATCAACAGTGGCTGTACGCCCACCCCAACGCCCCACAGGTTCCGAAGTTTGGAAGCGGCAACAGCATGATCCCAGATGATCTCGTCCCTCAGCTCATGGGCCTCACCGTCGTCGAGCAACATCTTATCTCCATGGCCCACCCAATTGCCAGGGCCTATCGCCTGCCGGGTGGCCAGCGTGCCTACTCCGGGCATATCCTCAACGTCGCCAGGGACGTCACCACGTTTGCAACGTCTCGTCCGTGGCAGGCCAACGCGGCCCATAGATGCGGCTTCGAAAACTCGTGGTTTTACGTGCCGCTCCTGATAGAGGCGCTCGGCCGGTCCGATGATGCACGCCAGCACTACAGATTCGAACGGCCCCCATTGTGGAGTGCGTACGTCCAGGCGTACAGCTCGAGGTTTGCAGACTTAGAATTGCACAGCAGTGACAATTACGTCGCCTTCAACGGCGCCTACATTCAGGCGTTGCAGCATGAAGAACTCATGCAGTATCACCCGTTAGGGATTCTTTTTAATTGGATAGAATCCTGTAGGCAAGCGGGGGCGTTGGTCGACATGCCGCAGGTACCTGCATCGGTTTAGTTTTGAGGAGTGTCGCTTATGTTTAAGTTCTGCTTGTTGTGTTGGTTTGCGCGTGTGTTTTAAAGTCTGCAACCGGGAGGAATAATCGATCACCTTTTTACATCGCTGTCTTCATCAACAATGCTCAACTTCGCACAGCATCGCAGATAGACCACTGCGAGGTATTGAGTCGCACCACGCGTCTCATTACCCCCCCATACCTAGTAGACGCGAAGAAGGTTGAGGGGTTCTCATTCGGACGCACACGCAGCGACTTGAGTTTCCCTTCTTGTACACGGATCTGATTCTGACACAGAAAATGATTCAACACTCGAAATACCTTGCTGGGGGATCCAGCATGCCTAGCCATGGTTTTGAGGGAATCTTTCTTCAGGCAGTCAAACAGAAACCACCATGCCATCTCTGCCTGGCGCAGCACGCCCACGCTGTATCCTTTGTCTACCAAGGGGGTCAAATCGAATCCAATGTCTGCAATCGGAATGTCATGCATTGACACAAACGCTTCATACAGATTGTTGTGACGGGCACTCAGCAAAACGTTCTGCGACCACGATGGATTCGAGACATCAGTCCCTTCGAAAACAGGAGCTTTGAAAACTTTAAAAGGGCTCCTACCCAACTTCTCTCCTGTGTCTGAAATGCCGGCCCCAGGGATCAGTGTGTTTCCACTGGCGGCATGTCCCCACCACTCACTCGATGGAGCAGACGGGGGCGGAAAGAAAGACTGGCTACCTGGTGCCCCACTCCCAATTCCGATCGAACCAAAGTTTGCGGCACCAACAGAGGAACGATGTACTGTAGATACATCAGGGGTCAAGCCCGAGTCTAAGAGACCACTACTCCCAACCCGATTAACATCAGTTGCACTACGGTTCAAGCCTGAGCCTGCGCCTGCAGGACTACCACTCCCAACCCCAACGCTGGACATGCCAAGGACTGGAGCATCGCCGCCCGTACCTCCCGCAGTCCCACTGGTTGCATCCGATTGATGCGCACCAGCCCCGTTCTCTGTTCCGCCGCTTCCCGGCGCAGCAGAACCAACAGAGGACTCCACCTTATCACCTCGTTGCCCAACAAGCGACTTGATTATGCTCGTGAGCTGGGACAACTGTGTCTCAATCGAATCCAATCTCTCACCACCAATAACATCCATCCTGCGAATCACCCGGAGATGGGTCATCCACATGATCCCCAGCAGGCCCACTCATCACGAAGCAAGGTGATCAATCTTCCTCCGTGCAGTCTTGACGTACAGTCCGAGGGGACAAGCAGCAGTCGAGTGATTGATGGCGCTATAGCGTGTTGGTAAACTCGTGGCTTCTGGAGGAAATATGTTGTATTGTTTGTGTGTGTACTCGGCAGGATACGAATCTCCGAGATCTCCGGGGGTTACGCAGATAGATATTGTACATGATGGGTGTGATGGACTTGACGCGTAGGCTCTGCTTGCCTGCCCATGTCTCTCACTCGTTAATAGTTAATCAAGGAACTTGAGTCACTCCTTTGTGCAACACGCTCTCGACAAGAGTCCGCGAGCGTGATTACATAGTACACGCGCCGACACCCCAAACATGTATTGATGAGACCTTGGACTACTAGGAGAATAGGTCAAAAGGTGGAGTGAGCTGGGTGGGTGCACAGCATCCCAGCAGCATCACGCTTGGGCATCCGCCCAATCACGCATATACACCGAACACGGACCGATGCATGGAACGGACCAATGCACTTTCCTACGTATCACACATCCTCGGGCTAATGTACTATCCACGAAGAATATTCCTACAGCCAGAGGGAAAGGACCAAAACATTCCACTATATTCTCATAGTATGTGGCGACACAGCGACTCTTCAGCTTGACAGTCCCGACATTCAAACTATCCAATCAGACTGTTTACGCTTCTGTCGATACACATGCCGCTACCTCGAGCACACCTTCCTGATATTGCAAGCATGTTAGACTTGAAAATCATGAGTTTAGCCTGCTCATCCTCCCCTGGTTTGAAAGTGCCATCCCAAGGCTCTAATCGTGCTCTTCTAGTCTCAGTCATCATGCGTAACGTCCCTACTTACGGTACTCTACCGAAATCCCCGGATGTGGTCTGGAGACGGCCAGTCACGGCGTTGGCGATCGCACTGGCGATGTTGTCGGCGGAGGGGGCTACCGATGGGCTCCCCGCGTGTTGCGGTAGATAGAGTATGCCCCTTGTTGCTCGTTCCCGCTACGGATGTCATCTGTGCGTCGCTGCTCGTCTTGTTGTTGTACCTCCATCTCGGCCAGCCTAGCTGCTACCCTCTAGTTCACCATCTCCTCGATCCGAGCCTCTTCAGTTGCTGCTTGCTGTGTTCGGCGGGTGTCGTCACTCTCGCGCCTTGGTTCGGACATCTTCATCCTGCTCCTGATCGCCGCAAAGCATTAGTAGTCCACTCCTAAACTAAGCTCGATCCCGAATCTCGTAGACGACGTGTCATACGCTAGCGTGATCGATAATATTTCGGGTGGCTCACTTTTGTGTGTTGGAAGTGTAGAGCAGCTCGGCCATGATGAACCGTGGATGGGTAGAAAACTTGTCGGGAAATGAGTTGGATTCTTCGGGGGCGTGCTTGCGCTCGCCAATCTGTCACGGCATCAAGCATGCGTCACGCTCATCAGGCTCAAAGTACCAAAAGAATCTCTCTGAATCTCCATCAAACTCTTCTCACTTCCAGGGAAAATTGACAGTTTCGGACTCAAAAAAAAGTTCCGAAATATGGAAACATATTATTTTGAGTTAAGCCGTCGTTCTGAGGATCGCTCCTGGCAGTCTCGCCAGAACCCACAACAAGGAAAAAAATTACAGATTTAAGAGCCGAGGGAGGCTCGGTTTGTGGAAGTTTTTTCACGATTTTTCGATTTAGCAACTTTCTTCGAAGTAGCACATCACACGCACCACCCCACGCACACACAGCAGTCTGCTGAGACACGTCAGCGCGGCCAAAGAGAAGGCCAGCGCACAGCGAAAGGCCTTGGAGTTGGCGCGCCACCAACACAAGAACAGGGAGGCTGCACGGTCAGAAAGTTGGGTTTTTGTTTCCGACTGGCTTGAGGTCAGCAACACGCCCGTCAGATTGAGGCAAGCGGGAGGAAGAGCGCACGAACCTTGAGGTGGTGGCGACACCGCCAGCAAAGAAGAAGAGCAGGGAGGATGAAGAGCACGTTGTGGCCTCCTGGTGAAGGCGGGCGCGTCCTTCCGCGCGCAAGAGTATTTCCTCTGGTGTCTACTAGAAAGAGCAGCGTTAGCCTCGGATGTGCCTCCCGGTCCCAACCCCCCCGTCTCTCTCCCCAACGCTTGAAACGCGACATAGCACTTCGTTCAGAGGCTGTCGTCGGCCAGTGTACAGTAATCTCTTCCTGTCTTCGTACTGCTGTGGTGCGATTTCGTGTGCTGGGGTTGAGGGAGCGACGCAGACACGGANACCCCCCCGTCTCTCTCCCCAACGCTTGAAACGCGACATAGCACTTCGTTCAGAGGCTGTCGTCGGCCAGTGTACAGTAATCTCTTCCTGTCTTCGTACTGCTGTGGTGCGATTTCGTGTGCTGGGGTTGAGGGAGCGACGCAGACACGGACACGCGCACGCACGCACGCACGCACACTCAACAGCAGCAAGCAGCAGTGAGAGTCCCTTGTCATCATCAAGCAAGGTGCACAGCTAGCTGTCACGCAGCGCACCACGAAAAAACAACAGCACATGCGGACAGGGGAAGTTCGCGGGAGGACTGTTGAACCACAGCCAATCACACGAAGCCGCTTAAATCTGAAAAATTTCACCTGCACGAAGTTTCCAAGAAATTTTCTTATCTCAAAATCTGCTTCCTCAAACCGGAAAATTTGGAGCCGCAGTCCGAAACTGTGTAATAACCAGAAAATTATATTGTTCCTTCGCATCTCATCACTACAATTTCCGCAGGCATGTAGAGCTACTGAAGATAACCCGTCATACTATGCTACGAGTACCCCCAAAATATCGAATATACGCGACTGCCGATTTGTTTACCCTTGCGGTGGTGGTTGCCTCTTCTTGTGTTCATCATGCTGCTCTCAGAAATGGATGGGCATGTTCTGGACTTCACGGCAGACATACATGCAGTCGAGTGTGGACCGCACTACTGTGGGTATACCCACCCCTTTCTCGGACAAGCGTGGGTACTCGAAAATCCAGCGCGCGCGCACTCCGGTCGCCCCGGTGGTCTATCTAGTGGTATCCTTGTAATCCGCTATTATTTAGTCGCAGACGTCGTGAGTTCGAATCCCCATGAGGTGAAAAAATTATGAAATGTATTGTCACGGCGGCTTCAGCGTCTCAGAAATACGATAATTCAATTGGCTATCGTTCGATCGTGAGGTCGTTCGTGTGTTAATTGATGAGGGCTAGGAAATCCAAGGAGTGGGTCACGTTACCCCTTGGTACCCTGAATCATGTCGAGGATCCCGTTTCTTGGGACCCCTTGGCGAAACTACCTAGATTAGAGTTTAATCAACTCTGCCAACGAAGCAAAGAAACTGAGCCTGAAGCCAATTGCCACTTGTTGTGCCAAACGAACCGAGGCTGTGAGTCCAACGCTAGTCCTTGAGGACGCCAAACAACGGTATGTGATTGTGTGAAGCATGTACTGAGTTCATGTGACAAGATCCATGTGTGTGTGTGTGGATCGTCCCAACTCTACCCCGTGAAATGAGCTTTACTTTCCCCAATGAACCCTCGCNTATGTGCGGGTGAAAGCGAAATATAGCTAAAAAGCTCTCGTGAGTACCAAACTTCGACGTTAGCACCGTTGACGAGGGAAAGGGACGGCTGGATCCTTCTCGCGAAAAAAATAAAAGGGAAAACGACACAACAGGGTATACTCTGGTCGAAAAGCGACACACCTGGGTACACAGTCATTAACAGAAGTAAATGCACTCATATCATTGGTCAGCGCCCAATTTCACCCCGGTACGTCCGAAAAGGCGCAGGGTATACCCTGCCGTGACTAC